TGCTGCTGCTGCTGTTGTTGTTGGTGCTGTCAGTCCGCTATATTATTACTGCAACTCTGCTTCGTGAACTGAACCGTGCGGCCACAACTAGCACTGTAAGTACGACTCTGTTACTTTAACCTTACATGAGCATCAGGTCATATCAGGTTGACACGACTTCGGGGTTCGGGGCCAGAAAGGCTTCAGGTTCCAGCGGTATCGGTATGGGCCAGAACCTCCCGACCCTAACTGTGCCGGGTACTATGTGGAGCCTTGCCGGCCTTGTGCGAGTGAGAGTCGAAACTGTGCCGGGCGTGCTGGCTTCTTTGTTTTCCTGCAGATTGTGCTGCTGCGACTTGGAGTGGTGGGTTCGGAATTAGGCTCTTCGTCGTAGGCATGGCTTCCCATCGCGGCTTGCCTTATTCTTGGGGTTAGAAAAGGGGCGTGTGCGAGATCAAGAATTGCACAGAATTTGTCAGGTTCTGTACAAGCATGATGACTCCCGTGCCTCCACAGAGTCCTCCACAGCACCCACTGCCACCCTTTAAATTGGCTTGAATTGAAGCTGAGATATTGTCTCAGTCAGCACCCTTGACCTGAGCCTTGCGCCATGCGCCATCATTCCTCTACGGAGTCTGGGTCCGCACTGCCAGGCGTATCTGCTGGGCGCAGCTCACCACTGGATCGAGCACTTCCACATCGACGGGCTAAGAGTCGATGCTGTCGCGGACTCACGGCTTGCATCCCCAGACCCTTTGCGAAGAATTCACCCCGCAACCCCTTCAAACCATCGCGGCCCCGCAGGACGAGTCATGTCACAAGTGTGGTAGTCCCGCGGAAGATGGTCATGGATGCGAGAAGGATTGAGTTTCCCACCGTCTTTGTGAAGCATTGAGGCATAGGGCGGCACCCGCCACTTATGCAGTGCTGCTGAAGGTTGTACATTGCAGGGCCCTGTTTTGTGTTTTTGGCATTGTTTCGCCAATTCGAGGCCATGATTTACCGCAACTTTGGTCGGGAGGAGGATGGCGACAAGATCATGGCTGGAAAGGCTCTGCTGTGAATTGCACGCCTTTGAGCCTCAACCCGGTGCCAGCCATGTTGTGTGCAGCGGGACGCATAGTACAGCAACCCGCCATTTCGAACGAGCTAGCTCTGCAACCGAAGTCAGGCCTTGAAGTCCCGAACTCACCGTCGCATGATGCTGTGTCTTCGATCGACGGCCATCAGGGCAAGTTGAATGAGGACGGCATTGCCCTGCTGCGGCGCCTTTGTGCTGAGGCTCCGGCACGATGTGCTGATAGGAGTGCGTGATGGGAATGATACTGACAACATCGGGAACTGCAACTCCCCTCGCCATACTGTAACAAGTGTGAGAAGCACTGGCCGCAGGAGGTGCTGTATTCGAAGTCGTCGTGGTTGTCGCTTTGGGTCCTGATGGTGTTCAGAGTAGCAGAAGTCCTCGTTGTCGGAGCGGTATAGCGATAATTCGAGAATGTAGCAGCAGCACTACTGGGTAGCAGCAGTCGTTTGCCTCGAATTCGTCGTCCTCGCCGTAGTGGTAGTAGTGGCGAAGTGGTAGTGGCGCAGCAGCAGCAGCAGCAGCAGCAGCAGCAGCAGCAGCAGCAACAGCAGCAGCACGCAGCATTGCAAACTGTAGCTTGCGTTGTCGTCCCAAGACTTCTGGAGTTTGGGGCGCCCCATGGGCGGAAGGGTTCTCGAAAATCGGCATCAACCCTTGAACACAAAGTCGAAGCCCGAAGCAAATCTCCGGAGCTCTACCGCGCCCCCACTCACAGCCCACCTCGCAAGGTTCGCTCGCGGCATCCGGGGGTCATCCTCTCTGCAGAGGAGTCCACGAACTTCAAGTGGGCGGCTGGGAAAGAAAGTCCCAGCAGATTAGTTCCTTTTATATGCGAGCATCAGCGCCGTCGTCTTTAGATTGTCCATACCATCTACATGTGCGGGTCTTCACAGGGTAAGAGCTTCCATACTTACATTTCGTCGTGTTTGTGTTGTCTTTTTGCCTGCCTGTCAGTCTGCTCAGTCTGTCTCTCTCGCTCTCCCTCTCTCCTGCTTGACTGTGCCTGTATCTTTGCATGGACAGTCCCATATCAACCGATATCATGCCAGTGGCTATCTTTTTTTTGGGAGGTGGGTCTGATACTGATACGCACTGCAACGTTTTCAAGATGCTCGCGTTAGAGCCCGGAGTGTCTGTCACACTCCCAAGCCATCTTCTCAACACCGACTGGGCTCAGAGCCAGTGACTACGCGGAGAGAGAGAGAGCGACCAGCAAAAATATCAGAGCAATTCTGCAAGGTGACAGATCGTCCCGCAGAGAACGGCACTGAGAGGCACCAGGTGGCTCGGCTCAACGACATCATACACACAGATATGTATATATATATATGTATATAGATAATTACTATTCTTGTGTCTTTATTTCTAAATGTTATTATATGTTATTGATATGTATTTAGTATTATTAGTAATTAGTAGTATATACATATATATATATATATACCCTGCAGATGCCTGAAATGCAGTTTCGGTGAGCTGTTTCGGGCTGTTCTTGCTTTTAGGTTAGGGGTTTTACGGTTTTACCGAGTGGTGGCGGAAGTACAAGGCGTTTTGGTTTGGGGTTCTGCTCACAACCACTCTGCTTGGATGTGTCTCTCTGGGCTGCTGCCAGTTCAGTCGTGGAGTACTCCGCCAGCAGGCTTTCATTCTGGAGATCCTATTATATGAAAAAGTTCCTACCATTTAGTCTTTAGGGTTTGTGTTGGTGGTTCCTTGTTTTCTGACACTCCCGGATGCCGAGGCGGAGATCCGTGATTTGGGATTCCATCTCAAGTGGAACATGGGCTTTGCCTATGATGCTTTGTCGTACTTTGGGGCCGACCCAGAGGAACGACCTCAGCTGGATACGTTCGGGTGGAAGAGGCTGGCATGGTATTTGGCTTACGCCTTCAACGAACGCTGGGTGCTGCCCTTCTCCCATGATAACATGCAGCCGAAAAGCTTGCTGGACCAGATGGCACCTAACAAGCGAGTGGGCGTGGAGGGCCAGTTTGCGCAGCTTCGATTGCTATTCTTGCATCTTGAAAAGCAGCCAGCACCCTTTCCCCAGCTCTTTCCCGACTCTTCTCCGGAGAGAGCACCAAAAATGAACCATCACCATCGATCCATACCTTTCCCATTTCTGAAGGTACATGGTGGGTATGCCGGGGCGACCTCTAATGTTCATGGGCTCAGAGATTGGTGTCTTGGCACAGCATGACAGTGCAGAAGCATGGCAGCCGCACCTTTAACATCATCAAGCGATTTGTGCTGCGATTGTCCGTCCATTTGTCTGGTTCTGGGTTTGTCAACAAGCACTTATACATAGTCTTTCCTTGCCTGCATCCTATGACCTTGCGTCTCATGGCAAGAGAGTCATGGTCGCTGTTCGAGCCCATCGCCACAAAGCCTAAGCTTGGGCTTAGTTGTTTGTTTGCAGCTCGGTGTCCATCTTCAAAGCAACCTCTCGACAGAGATCTACCATAGAAGTCTGAATGATCACCTATTTTCCTTCCCAGGAGTACTGTAAGGCCCCCATGTTAAGCCTCTGCATCGCTTGGGCCTCTTGTGGGATCTTTCACGGCCTATCCCATGCCGAACCTGCACATGGCAAACATGTGTGCTAGCACCTGAAACCCGCCCAAAGATCCAACGCGCTGGCAGCCGATAAAACCCTGCCTAAACATCTAACCCTAAACCCTAACCCAGTAATCTCGGACACTTATTGCCATGCCTGCATTTGCGAGTGTGTGAGTCGAAACCACCAAGGTGAAGGCTTCTCCCTAGCCCAGCCGGTGGATTGGGAGCTTGCAGCCGTGGACCCCGACAAGCAGCAGCCGCCTGGAAGCGATACAGCTTTCGTTTTCCCACATAACCTTACCACACAAAAGCGTGTGCATAGGTAACTCTAAACCCTTATATAACCCTGGCCGTTTCTGATCGTTTTTGAAGTGAGGTTGCGCAGCTGGGTCGCCAAGCTGATGAAGCCGCTTGGACCATGGCCTTGGGTGTAAGACAGGCTGAAGCCGGTGGCGGCGAGGTCTTTTGGAGTTTTGGGGGTGCCACGGCGTACATTAAGTATCGGGTCTTTGCTTCGGACTTCTTGTCTTGCGGCTTGCGGGGCTTGGGACTCGTGCGCGCCAGGAGGTGTACTGCTCCACGGCAGCGTGCAGATGAAAGAGAGCTCGATGTTCGTCGGTATTTTTCCGAAGTTTCCCGTCGACTTTTGTGTCCTCCGGAAAAGACCGTAGGTCCTAGGATTCAAGTGTCTTCAGCTCCGAAATCCGCCCTGAAAAAGCCTGGCAGGCTCTATCGTCAGTTGAAATGCCTCCATCGGCAAGAGGACTCCGCTGCACCGCGCTGTAAGGGATAAAGCCTCCGAGGCTCACGTACTTCAAGACTCCCAACCGCCCAGGTACCTACTATATAGGGTACTAGAGGTTCTAGGGGCCCATATAGTAGGTACCTGGGAGGTTAGGGACTGGTGTTCGAAAGACCTTCTTGGACAGGACCGCGCGGATGGATTCCATTGGCTCGACACTTTCAGCTTGTTGGCATGCTTTCGGGCTGGATCTTCGTATATGTAACCGGACGGGATAAACCTTCGGTTTCGTGGAAAGGTGCTGTACTCAGTACTCAATGCCAAGAAGAACTGGCAACACAT